ACATGCACTCAATAAATTAAAATACACCTTTATTTTTAAAAGAATGGGTATTGAGTTTTTTGTCATTCATAGTACTATGCAGATGTGTGACACCTGCACTGTAATACCTCGTAAAAGTGAGATGGAAATCTTACAGAAACTTTATAGGTAAACTAATCATTCAGTGATTAGCAATATTTAATGCAAAGTGTCTACAAAGTTCAGAGCACAAAAGAGAATAGTACCTAAAACTATGTTAGTAAATAAAATTCTTCTGTGTTTCCAGTACTCTTAAAGAGTTTTAAGTATTTTTTTAGGTTTGCAAGAATAAGAAGTGACAACTTGTTTTCAGAGGATTTGGGTAAAGTAAGTTATCCTTAAATACAGCCTTAGTACAGTAAGCTGCAGGCTCAGACACTCAGAGAAATGTTCTAGGAAACTATGAATGCTCCTTGAAATCTTAAACAAATAACATTTCTTAGACATGTTTTTTCTGGCAGAGCATTCAAGTAGCTAAGGATAGGCCTCCTTTTGTGCTATTCCTGTGTAGAGTGCACCTTCTAGTGGAAAAAAAGCAAAGAAACAAAGAAACAAACAAAGCATAACAAACAAAACCAAAACCCCAAAACATTTTTAAGTGTTCAAACCCTTTCTTGGCTTTACTGTCAACACAGACCCTTTATTAACTCTATTTTTACTTATTTTTTCAGCTATTTCAGCTCTCTTTTACTTCATGCCACACAATGGATGAACACATGAATATTGATTTTTCATTAAGGTATTAACATCTTCAGTAGATTGTCACAATGCTATTATTGTGCAGGTAGGATGTGGTTTCATGAGACTTTTGTTATAATCAAGGTTACTCATGACATGTCTGAATTAACATGATACTTACTTACCCATAATCAATAAGCAATTCTCTTAGGCACTCGAAATCATGAAGCTCAGCCCACTGGCAGCAAACAAATGGCAATATCAATTAGCTTAGCACAGTTTCAGTGTACTTTGCACAATAGTGAGCCAAACTGAGCATTATTTTTTAGTATTCATGGCAGTTATTTCTTTTAGTCACTATGCTGACTAAATAATCCTTTAGGTACGCTACTTCTCCTACACAGACCCGGAATTGTAGAAACACAGCCAGAGGGACTAGGCTAATAGAAAAAGGAAACTGGCAATGTTAAGACACAATAGGAACACAAATGACATTTGTTAAGAAAAGAGTAGAATAAGCACATGGCTATGGCAACACTTAGATTCAGCTACTCCTTTTTAGAGAAGAGACAGAGGATAATACGAGAGAGATGTGCTATGTGTGACAAGGAGTAGGTCAATGGAAAATGACTGGTCACCTCTTCCAATACAGTAAGGATCATGAGAGTTCTAGTCAGCAGGTCCAAAGAAAAAATAATACAAAAAATAGAACCTTTTTTCAAACAACTTCCAGTTAAGAGGTGGAGCCCCTTGATAGAGTATGCTGCAGATTCAAGAAGTCAATAATTTAGAAAAAAAATATATATATCTAAATCCTTCTATAAGAAAAATTCATTGATTGTTACTATCTCCCAACACCACCACTAAGGTATTCTGCAGATCATTGAAAGCAGGTCTGAGGAGTTCTTGTATTCTTTTACAATGCTAAAAAAGTGACAGACATCTTGGACTGTACAAATTGAGCATGCATCAGCCTGAAAAGAAAAGCCAAACCATCTGAGTAATAGAATAAGAAATTACAACAAGAGGTCAAAAGGCAGCAAATAGTAATTTGGAGATCTGCATTGAAGACTTGACTATTACTGGGTTTGAGAAAAATATGGAAAGAACTTGGGGTAAGACGAAGAATAGTGAGAAAGAGAAAAATTACTATAATGAGTATGAAATGTATGGTAGGAATCGAGACTGCAGACATAAGCAGATCCAGAAGATGAGCAAAGGGCTGGCAGATACAAAATTGCTCACTACAGTGGCTACAGTGAGGGTATGTGGAAGGTTAATGTCAGCTTTTTTAAGGGCATCTGGTCAACTCAGCTTTTTTAAGAGTATCTATTCAAGGACCTTTTCTCATTGCAGCAGGAGAAATAGAGAAAAGGAAGAAGTGACAGTCTAGTCTTCTGCAATTGTACTCATGATTGAAAAATAACACTGTTCTTGAGTAAGAGGTTAGTACATGCAAGAAGCACAGAAACAGCATAGCATAATCCATTATCTTAAATATTGTAATTTGTGTGGTACACACATTTGGAAGAGGCACATGCTGGGGAAGTGGACGCATAAAATCTTTGAAATCTAAATCACTATGCTGAAAAGGCCCCTGTAAAGACTACACTTTGGAGAGTCACCAGCTATAGTCTGACCACAGTTCAGTGGCATTCCACACAGAACACATTTAACACTGATCTGGTGAGAAACCAGCTGTCTTATGTGGATTTGCACTTGAATTTATATTGAAATTAAAACCAAAACAAATTTAAAATTACCTGAAAACATACTTCACATTAACAAAAATCAGCACAAAGAGAACAAGGAAGGACACGGTTTGGCTCTGGAGTGACCTAACAGGATTTACAGCCAGAAGGCATAAAAATCTCCAAGTATTTTTTATATTTCCACATAATTTCAATTATGTGCTTAGAAAAGAGGACCGTTTTATCTACACTTCTAACAAAGATTAAAACCAATACATATGTATGTATATGTATCTCCAGCTAAAACTCTGTTTCTAAAATAAAAACATGATGAGTGGGCACATTAAACTTCTGAAATCCCCACTGCTCAAGTTAATGAGCAATCATTTTATTTAGTATTTGAAAACATATTGAACAAATTAAACATTAAAACAGAGTTCCTTATGAGTTAGTTAATCCTGTTTAATACAAATATAAGTGACAAAAAAATGTTATAGAGATGGAAGAAGTAGGTTTAGCTTAACCTGCTAAGAACTGGAGTACAACCTTCTGTATTAATGTTCTGCAACACTTTAATGGAGCAGTATCACTGCTGTATTTTGACCTCTCAAATACTTTTTTTTTTTTTTTTTTCTTTCACAGATGAGAAATCATGTTGGGAAGAACAAAAAAAAAACCCAAGCTACAAAACTTTTAGTGTTACAACTAATTTGAACTCATTAAAGAAATAACATGACTTGACAAGCATAAAATAGAGAAAAAAATCTAAAGCCAAAAAAACAAAAGTTCTAGCAATACTGAAAAGAACCACTGATATTTTCAATTTTTAAAAAACAAATTTATAATAACAAAAAAAGCCTAATAAAGTAATTGAACACTGGAGTATGAAACAGTTTCGTTAGATGCTCATTTGAAACTCCGTATGTCACATTGGTTCTAGATGATAAACACACTGGCAGAAGCACCACCAAAGAAAATGAAAGCCTGCACAAACCATACCTATACTTTTATTTTATAACATGTTGCAACATTCTGTGTAGCACAATACAGTAACTTCCTAATCAGTGCTACAGCATGAAATTTTTGTGGTCTAGATTATATATAAATAACATGTAAGTCTCATTATTTTGAATATGAATCTTAAAGAGACGGCACACATTTTGCCTCACAGAAAAATCTAGTGATACACTTCTTTTGGAATCCCAAAACATCCATCTTTCAGCTTAGTCTCCCTTCTAGTATGCTGTCTAGGATTTAGAATGTCTAGAGTTTCACACACAAGGAAAACAAGTTTCAAGCTGTTAGCAGGATGGGTTAATCAAGTAAACAACACAAAAACTGTATTAGTCAATGTAAAGAATCAGAGAATCCATTACACAGATCGCTTCGGAACTGGTAGGTTTAAGACATGACTAAGAAGGTAAGTAGAACTGTGCCTTTGTCTATTACAATACAGCTGTTTTTCAGTTGGCCATTAATGCTCACAAGAAGAAAGTAATCACATGGACATTACTGAAGGTCTGGTGGCACCTGTTTACCAGCTGGAAACAATTCCTTCTGGGTACATGATCCACATCACAGAAAATGTGACCAGTTTCCAGCTGAGTGAACAAAAATACAATCATATCCCTTAACTGTTTTATTTGTTCCTATCTGGAAGAACACTCTTCATCAATTCTTCATGTACATTCACAGGTTTGTATCTGTATTGTTTCTAAGGGAAGTTCTACATCATGCGAGGCTAACCCTCTGCTGGAGAAGCTTCAATAACAGTATGGAACTCAAGAACACCAAACATGGGCTCCAAAGCTTGTTTATTGAGATCACACAATACATGCATAAACTTTGTACTATTATGTTTAACAAAACACTATGATGTAAGAAAGCTAACTTTTAATGGTGACTATCTAAAAAAAAAATGTCACATGCTGCAAAAGTAACTTACATAAACCTTTTAATGTATAAAATTAACATATAAAACTATTAATTTGTGAGTTATGAGTTTGAAAATAAGGGTAGGCTAGGTTTTTCTACCCTATGCTACAATTAAGTGTGCCATTATTGGAATTGACAGGACCTTATCATAATTTCTCTCATTTTCTTGACACAATATGAATAGGAACATATGGCACCAGAGTAACATATGCATTTGAGGATATATTATGTTTTCTTAAGGTACCAGGAACTACAGCTGTTCAGTTCTTTGGTTTTGAAGATACATGGTGTTGAAGAAATTTGAAGATGTAAATCCTCCTAACTTAAAAATTCCAAACAAAAGTAAAGAGAAACTCCAGTATTTTTATGTTTTCAAGTAACAGGATTTTAAAAGAATTCTCTGAAACTTCACAGCTGACAACATGACTGTAGACTACCTGGTGTCCAACTGAGGCTTGCCATTTGATAATGTTTTTTGTAAACCAAGCACAAAACTGAAGTACTCACCAGAGACAAATGCACTAGAACAACAGTCCCACATTCATTTCTCTAGGACGGATTCCCCCAAGATTTCTTAGGCTAACAACATGCAAACTATCTTTGGATTGTATAATCATTCTAACTTCCTAGTCAACTATTCTTATCTGCCATTCTGTGTCATTTGCTTCTATTGTCTAGCTATCTGGCCTTGCCTTCCTCTAGCACAGTGAAGCAAATATTGAAAAACAGTGTGATTGCTTTGTTGTCCAATGTGAAAGATGGGCACAGGTCTAATTTTCTGTCACAGTGAAAGAACACAAAAATTATTTTGGTTTGTCACTTATGGACAGAAGGCATGGTAAAAGAACAGATTCCAAGTGGGTAAACAAAAAGCAAAGCCATCCAACCACAGTATATATCCTCTTCTCAAATCTGAGTCCTTTGGTTACTTTGAGTGGGGGAATAAAGAGCTCCCAGCAGCTCAAAGGTTTGCAGGCTGTACCACAAGGATGTGGAGCATTGCATGAACCAAACGGAAGAGGGCACCTTGATTTTTCTTAGAGTTGAACTTGAGTTCCATATGAACCTGCTGGCTGCTGCAGTGGAAGAGTTCTGCAAGAAGATGAAGAGGATGGATTAGTTGCTTCATTTGCCCTTAGTGTAGATTCTGCTTCTGCTGAGAAATTTAAACAGAGGAACCAAGACTGTTGCTTTCTTCACCCACCAATGCCAACATTACTGCAGCTACCTGAAAAAGAAGATGGTAAGCTGCATAAAATGCAGCCATTATCAAATGTGCTATCAGAAGGTTATGCTTTGGGATTCACTGTAATGCAAGGATAAACCACTGCAAAGGAATTGGGTATTTTCAGTGGCTTTAGAAAGATTTTAAATGCCTACCAGTGCTTTTGTGAAGAATTTTCTTTGTAAGATGTGTAGTTCCAAAGCACTAACATCTGCAGCGTCATATACTAGACTGTCAAATCTATTGATCATCATCATTGTATAAATTGTACTATTTAAATATTAATGCATGTGTGTTAATGTTCTAAAAGAAAAAAATCTGTCATTACTGGGTTTTCTTTACAAGAAACAAAACTTAATAAGGCCGTGTCTTGGATAATCATCTAAGAAGGAAACAGTATCAGTAAGCGTTGGAAAGTCAAGATGTTGAAGGGAATAAATGTCATTATGGACAGCTGCTGTTGTAACAATTTTGCTTTTACTGGAGGATAAAGGGCAAGCTGGACTTGCACCTGAAGTTTAAATGAATGATGCATTATTTTGTAAATACCTGTGGAAGACCTAAAATGGTCAGCTTTGAAATGTGTGATAATTTTGGTATTTTGCCCAGACAAAGTAGCTTTTCTGAGAAACAGGGTATATTGATTGGGATGAATTTGTTTCTGAATGCATAAATTGGTCTGTAGCTACATAGTACTATATTCTATTGCTTGTGCTGTGCTACAAAGAAAAAGATCTGAACTGTCGTTCACTTTCTCTTGTAGTAGATTAGAATACAAGCCAAAGTCTTGATGTGATTTTTATATTAAGTATTACTACTTTCTTTTTCTATGCTAGTAAAAGCTTACAGAAAGTAGTGTTTGATTTGGGGTATTTTCCACCAATTCTTTCAAAGGAGTAGTTGCCCAGGCTAGATCTGTTCTAGCACGGCACAACCACTACCAATTCTGCCCAATATGCGGAAGTGCAACCAAGGCAGAAGAAGGAGCTTACTAGAAAACTTGCTTGAAAAAAGATTGTTCTAATCTCAAAGGTGTTCACAACACAACATATCCAAGAGTTGGTGAGAATATTGTGGGATAAAATTGGCCAAGAGTTGTTTGTTTGTGCTATTATATAAATGTAAATTCATTTTTTCTTATTTCAGCTACTTGCTTCTGTCCCACATCTTATGTACTTGTCTTTCCCCAGTGTATATGCTTCTCAACTCTATTTAGGATCAAGTAGTTCAGGTTTGACAAAGGTACTACTGTGACAGTATGAAACTTTTAGAAGTTCCAACAACAAGAATCACAGAATCACATAACCATAGAGTGGTTTATTTCTTGCAGTGCTAATAAATACTTGGTAAGATTTTATGTTACTGCATTAAAAAATAGAAAAAGGGTAGTTTGAAACAGGAAACAACACTTCAATAATCTCTGAGTTTGAGAGCAATATTTTAATGATCTTTCAGATGTAAATAACTTCTGATGTTGTAAAAACTAAACCAGCCATCTTTTTTATGCTTTCTTCTCATTTTTTTCATTCCACAACAGATGAGCCACTTACAGAGAAGATGAAAAACAGCCCTTATTTAATAAAACTAATTTGATAATTTTAATCTCTTACTTCAAGAGAAAATTTTCCTGTCTTTTCATTGCCTAACTTGACCTCCTTTAGACTGTAGGATTGAGTTAAGGTTTGAGAATATCTATACACAGAAAATTCTAAAGGATAGTTATTGTTGGAGATTACCTAGGACGTATCTAATTGAAGAACCAAATGCTGTGATTATTTAGCAACTCGAGCAATATAGAAAAGTGCTGAATTACATTTAGCAACAATCAAACAGTGTAGTGATTCTGAATGGAATATGGCCAGAGCAACACTCAGATGAGATTTTACTTGAATTCCATATCCAAAAGACAGCAGCTTTGCAAGCAAGCTATTTCTTGACACTCGGTATATGCAGTACATTAGGAAATTTGTATTCCTTAAACCACTAAAATTTGAAGAGTTTTGTTCATGCTGTGTAATGATCCCTCACCTTCTTCTCCTTTGCTTTTACAATGGTACCAGAGCAAAAAGAGTATTCACTACATGTAAATGTACAAGGCTTAAAATTCTGGAGGTGCCTTTTCTCCTTATTTGCCTGTACTACTGACAATTAACTTCTATTCAATATACCACTTGTAAATAATCTGCATTTTATCTGTTTTTTAGATTATAATAATTTACAGATAACAAACAGTAATTTGTGAGGTGGGAAAAAACAGATAAGGTGTTTAGGCAAGATTGATTCTACTAACCAAGCTGTGAACTCATGTGATGTAACATCTCCTGTAAGCTCATTGCAAGTGCAATACTGATTGTGAGATTTTAGAAACTCTGCATTGGTCCCTATAAACAAACTTCTTATTTCATTTTTCACATTAGATATGTGCAAACACATGAAAAATAAAAGTAGTTAAGTGTTCATACAAGAGCATGAACCATTATGTTCTTTTGTTTCCTGTAGTAATATTGCCCAGTGAGTAAATTATTATCTTGAATTCTACAACACGTGAAGGCAAAAGGAGTGGATGTCAATGGGCTGATTAAAGGTAGACCAATCATGGTGCTTCCCGGAATTAAATATACTAATCAGATTCTGAGCTTAGGAGACAGAAATAGAAAAAGAAGTGGAGCAAGAAGGTAAAATGGTGCTCCCTCTCTTATCTTTCATTTTAATTAGGTAATCTGATTGATTAAGACTTTTCAGACAAACCTTGTATTTTGTAAAGCTGTGACAAGTTGAGTTGTTACTTTTCTTACCTGCATGAAGAGTTAAGAGTTAAAAGGTAGTAGCCTTTTATTCCTGATTTGAAGGATATGTGTATAGAGAATATAATTGCTGACTGGATTTGACAACAGAGAAAGAGGATAACTCTAAAGGAAAAAAAACTTGTTAGCCTATTAAGTCATATCAAGACAGCCAGCCCATCCTTCAAGCGCTTAGAAAAGCAAATTATTCACAGAGTCCATAATAACAAGCAAGTATCCTAGGAGAATGATGAATATTGGCTCATAGTAACTGTAAGTATAAACATCTGCCTATTTTCTTTTTTTTTTTTTTCAGTTGACACTTTGTCAGGTAGTATTCTGTGGATACTAATTGTTTTAACACATCATAGAGTAAAATACCATTAAATATAGGATTTCATTACAGGAGGTTTATTACATAGCTTAAAGAGTTTCAAGTATAGTTCAGTATATTGTTTAGTTTTCTCAATAAATAAGAATTATAGCTTCCTAAATAGAAGGAATTCTTCATTCTTGAGATGTATTTTTGATTGTGAGTAAATAAAAATGTTTCCCTAAATTATATGGATTTCTTAGATGATATCATTCAAATTAACATTTTTTTTTCATTTGGTGTCTAAAATAGGAATAGCTGAGATCCATCAGTTGAAACAGAAATGGCAATTAATGGGAATTTTTTTGGAATATATATTCAGAACTTTTGCTGAAGACAAAATTCTTATATCCAGTGTAACAGATGTAATTCAGAATAAAGTATACTGCCTATGTTCTTACATATATAATAATAAATATATTATTATCCATTGCATTAAAATGATACCATGGACCATTACCGCATAGAGGCTACCTACTGGTTCTCTATTTTGTTTCAGTGGAAAGCAGTGCATATATTTAAATAAGGGTATAAATGAACAATGTTGACGCATAAATTAAGCATCTCAAAAATACTAAATATCTGCTTATCCTTATTACTACATTATTTCCTCTTGTGACAAAAGCAATAATTTAAGAGAAAGCAAGATTTTCTTAGTAAGGAAGTAGCAGCTTTATAAGAAACTGAGTTTTACATGTAGTTTTTCAGAATTTAAAATCTGAAGGTTGGACTTACCTTCTCCCTAAGAAAGCAGAAATGCTTGTGCACCTACAGCCCCTGATAGCTGAATTATTTTTACTATGAATTTGCTGGGACTTGCATTCCCCATTTTCAGTTAAAATAATATTTAAAATACTTGACTGACAGCTACCCTAATAAACTTTTTTAATACTGGAGTGAAGAGCACCCTGCCTGCCAGGGAGGTATCTTTAAAATAATGGCCAGGATAGGATAGCCACTATTCCTTTAAAGAAAATTCATCAAAACCCTTGTAATGCTTTTTCTGGTGTCACTTGTCACTTATAGAGGTGTCCAAAATAATGCAAAATATGACATGGGGTTTGGATTTTCTGAATATGATAATTTATGGCATAAGTGATGTTCCTCATTGCTTAGGCAGTAACCTTTCTTGAGAATCAGAACTGCAGAAATATTAACAGCTATCTTTTCATGATCCAAAAAAAGCGAATTCTGATTTAGTATGATTATTAAAAGTCCCAGAGCACATTTCATGAAGTAAAATGGTTGATCACTTAGTCCTAGTATAATACCTGTTGCAGATTAATTTATTTACCCATCTTTTTCTAAGCATTTAATTTAGATGACATTTTTAAAGACCAGTCTTTTCTGGAAAATATATGAACAATGAAAATAAGATATATGCCAGCTGAGGCAGAGAATAAGAAAAACTACGAACACAGATATTTTTGATAACGCATGGCTTTTCTTGCATGTGTTTAGCATAAAAATACATATTTTGGCAACAGTGCTGCAGAAATGGGTGTTCAGAAACTATTTAAATAAGGTAATAGTGAGAGCTTGATAAAGAGATTTAAAGTATCTTTGTAGAAAACAGGCAAAAATACAAGGTACTTGGATAAGAGGCATGTGAATTAAGTAAATAAGAGGTAAATCAATCATGAACCCTTTTTACCTACTCTGTATTGCACTACTAGGCTCTCATACACAACTCATTGTAATGACATCATCTTTGTGAAAAGTAAAGTAGCATAACAAAAACATAATATGCCACAAAAAAACAATTAGTAAGGTCAATAAGAGGAAGAATTCACAAGGAAAAATCAATATTTAGTAAGAAAGAGGAGACAAGGAGCAAAGCAAATATTAGTATGGAATAGAAGAATATTGAGAAATATAAGAACAGGTAAAAATGGAAGTGAAAGAGAACAAAATTCAGTGTAGTTAAGGCTATCTACGACAATGGAGACAGAAAGTAGGATTCTGTATCCCGGGGGGGGGAAATTAAGTAGATGAGTTTGATGTGGTAGAAGTACAGGAGGAAAGAGCAGTAGAAGGTTCTTGGTTAGAGAAAGGCTTTTTTAGTTATTCTGTAACATAATTCTTCTACAGTCTGTGAACTGCATCCTTCTTGCAGTGTTTCCTCTTTTCATTATTATTCAATACGTTTTTCACTTTTCTACTCATCTATCCATCTTGAACCATGCTAACCTCAGCCCCAAAGCAATTTTAATTCAAATCCACTGCTAACAGTCATGCCTATTATACTTCTCTTTAAGAAGACCTTAAACTCAGCTCAAATCTGCCATAGACTTGAAAGAGTATTGGTTTAGGCCCCATACCTGTGGTCATCAGACCTTTATTTTAAGCTATGATTTAGAAACCTTTGAAAATTTAATCCTAAATAACCTCAAGAAAAAAAGAGATGCATTAGTACCTGCTCTAGCACTTTCCTGGTTTTCATTATAACCTGTCAGTTTTTATACAGGTGAAAAGCCAAGCAAGTTAGAGAGGCCGAGAGAGTTAGAGAGCAAAATTATTCCAGAGAACCTTTCTTATTCTCCTGTGTTTTTCCTCCCACACAGAAGAGTGGAACCCAGATGCACTCAGTTTTTAGAAATGAGTAGAAAAAGAAGAAAAAGCTGCAAAGACAGAAGGAGCTCAGATTCCAGAGAATGTAAGTTTACAGAAATGTTTAATTTGAAGTAAAAACATCAGAATCACAGGTAATTAAGTAGTAGTAATTAAGACAGAAACCCATCTTTGTGCCCAAAGATGTTCATCAAATTGGAAATACTTATAGTCAAGTGTGAGTACATGCGGGTAATGTCTTGATGATGCCAGTTGTTTTATTTCAGTTGAGCTATTATTCTATCAATTTCTGGCAAAGCCTTTCAAAAGATGCTGATGTTTAATTGTCTCATTTTTTCACCATGGTTGCTGTAAATTTCTCAATGTTGTTTAAGTTTAATGCTGAATGTCTAAGCTGTGACTCCTCTAATGCACAAGATCTATTCTGAAAAAAAGCCCAAGCCATGAAATCCTGCCTAGTACAATGTCTGCCAGGAAACAGTATTTTCTTCTACTTCAAACAGGGAGCTGTGGCTCACACTTCCTGGCAATGTGCCACTGATCTGCTATGTGATTGTGACAATAATCAGTAAGCCTTTTCTTTGCTCATCTGTAAAAGGATTAGAAAAGTCAAGTTCAATGTAATTTACCACAAAATGAAAACATGCAATGGGGTACTGATTGTCCCAGTGTGTTCACAGGAATGCAGTAAATACCAAAAGAATTAATGAAAGTAAAAAGGCTAAATATTTCTAAATGCAAATAGAACACCTTATTACATAATAACTGTAAAACTTTCTGAGGAAAAAAACCTGCTAATATATTAATTTCTTCTAATCAGAGTGAGTGAGCAGAGCCTGCCCTGTTTGTCTGACTTCACGTTACTTATCAGATAACTAAGACAAAAGAAAACATAATGTTGTGGAAGATATAGTACACTTTAAAGAGAAAATAGATATTTTTTATGAAAACTATCTCAAAGCTAATAATAAATTTTGTGATACTGATTACTAAATCACTAGAATTTTTTTTTTATTATTTTTTTTTTCATGATTCATTAGATGAACAGTTGTCATCCATTTTTAAGTGCCAGCAAAATGTAGGAAGCCTAGAAAATAAAGCTGGTGAGGCTCTGGCTCACTTCAGTGACCCACTGGATGTAAAAGATACTGAAGAAAATGGAAAAGGTCATGAAAACAAGAATCAGAGTAGCTCAGATGCATCTGAAGATAGAGACCTCTATAATGTATCAGAAAATGAAAAAGAAAGAAAGAAGCAAAAGAACTATCCTCCTCAAACGTTCTCTCCTGAGCAACATGAAATCCTAGCTACAGTAACTTTTGATGAATCAGATGGCTCATCCACAGGAAAAATTACACTGTGGGGCAAGCCAGACTCTGTAGAATCCATTAGCTTGGCTATGGGAAAAATTACTGCAGAACTAAAATATGGTTCTTTTAATGTGAAAGTAGAAATGGAAAATGTTTTTTTGTTTGATTCTGAAACAAACTTTGTAGCTGAAAAAAGGAAAAGTTCAAAGAATAAAAAAACCTATTATGAAAGACAATACGAGAAAAGCCAGTGTTCAAAATGTGCAAAGTACCAGTGTCCTTCAACTGAGCATTCAGCAGAACACAATGGGGATCACAAGGGATCCTCTAAACATAAAATTCAAACTGCCATAAAGAAAAATGCCTCCCTGAAAATGAACATGGAAACAAAGGAAATTAAATTGGAATACACTAGTGGAAAGAAAAATCTAAAAGTTAACATCAAGCCTTGTGAAGAGACACAGAACAAAACTTTTAAGAGGGATCATGAAGATACATATTGGAGTGAAACAGATTATTCTGTAACAGATGCACCTTGCAGTACAGGCTATCAGTCATCTTTTGTCTTTCATGACAAAGTAGACTATTCATTCCCAGATGGATGTACTCTTCTGCCTCCACCTAAAGAATTTGCTGACTGTGACAAAATATATTTAAATACAATTGGAGACAGCATATCTTTGAACCCTGTTAATGACAGGAAGCAATCTGACAACCTCTCAACAGTCTTGAGAATTTGGGGGGAAGAAAATAATTTCTGGGAACATAATAAAAAGGACTATGAAGACCACATTAATGAAAAGAAAGATTTTTCAAAAGATAAAATACTTTTCTCAGAAATGAATAATACAGATTATCTTGTAGCTACTAATACCTTGAAGAACCTGAACACAGAGAAGGATCATATCAGTAAAAACAATGTATTCTATCACAAAAGAAATAACTGTAACAAATGCTGCTACACAGGGCAAAAGCCAGCAAGAAGAAAGTCTTTCCCAGATACTACCCTTGATGTACCATCACCAGTTCACCCTAGAAGGGATTCCAGCTTTTATTCATTGCCATCCTTAAAAGTATTGCCTAAAGAGACCGAAGCAAGAGATGTCTACAACAGAAACTCACATGTTAATACCAGCTATACAGAACTTTGTAAGTGTCCTGACTTGTCCCCTTCACCAAAAAGTTTGAGAGGTCTTAAGTCTTCATATCAGTATGCTTTCACATCATTTGACCATGGTATTACCATTTATCCCTCTGAATCTGGAGAAACCCTTGATGACACTTGTTTACTGAATGACTATGCAGACTATGTGGGGCAAAGCCAAGAAACAGAGGAAATTTTAATAGAGACTCCTCATTCCAGTCATACTACAAATGAAGAAAAAGAGAGAGGTCATGCAGAGCATCTGACAAACCTAGGCATATGGGAGGAAGACTCTGAGTCTGCTGTAAATGCTTTAGATAAAGGGACATCCGAGTACAACCATCTAGAAAAGTACATTGAGTTGCAGAATGAAGTTCAGCTGGTACAAGTGTATCCACATTCTAGAGGCCCTTTCGGTGAATTTTTTCATAATAAGGAAGGTACTACTTTTGCATCTACAGCAAGTGCCCCAAATCATCTTTCAGCTTTACAGCAAAATTTTCACCCATCTCCTGCAGATTCTGAGGTAACGAAAAAAAGGAGGGGGTCAGTGATGACTGTGATCACTGGAGAATTAGAAAGAAGACTCATCCAAGGTGACACTAAATTGATACCTGATTCCTTTGTCTCTGCAGTAAGAAAAGAGCCTAATCTTTCCTGTAGTAGACAAGAAAATTCCTTGCTGTCACCTTTGCTATTAGATCCCAAGGAGCATGATATAAATAATGAATCAGAAAGCTCTTCTGAGATAGAAGATGTATCTGGAAACACCCTTGTTAAATCCAATTGCCAAAATGATTCAGCACAGGCTGCCATATTATCTATCTCTTCAGCAAATACAGAAAAGAAAGAGAATTTCACAGAAAGTTCAAATGTCAAGGAAAGTCTGGACAACTTTTGCAGTAAACAGTCAAATGATGACAGCTTAAGGAGAGAGCCTGAAGCACATGAGCTACCTCAGTTAGTCAAATCCAACTCTGCTGAAGTTGAGAAAAAGACTGAAATGAAAGAAGATTGTCATCAGAATGCAGATAGTCCTCCTTCATCAGTAAAACAGATTAGTCAGAAAGGTACGTGTTTTAAGACTTTTGGAGTTAATATCACTTACACATCTTTTTTGGGGGGAGTGGGGAAATGAAAGGATATTGTGACTTTATAAAGAGATTATACGGATATGCTTGGCCACTTGGTTATAATATGCAGTTACTGTGTTGAGGATCTGAGGAACCACCTTGTAAATTCACGTAACTTGAATAAAGAAAATGTTCATGCAGCTGTGCTCAAAAAGTGGCTTTCCTATATTGTACAGTTAACCCAACCTATACATCTACCAAGAGAAGGAAACACCAAAACATTTTTTTTGTTTTGTTTTGGTTTTCTTTGTTTTGTTGCAGTTGCCATGCGGTGTGAACTCAAAGCTCTAATCACTATTTAAAACTACATCAATCTGTTTCTAGAATCTCTGTGATCTAAGCAAACACTGAATTCTAAATATATCTCAGTCCTAATTCTGGCTGAGCCTTTATGTGTCATGAATTACTATACTGGATAATTCAACCTTCTTTTCTCCTCTCCTTAGGCACTTAGGAAAACTGCATATAAAAAGGAATTATTTTTAATAGCTGAACTTTTACTACCTTTCTTGTCTTCCCTTCTGTGATCCATCTACCCATATCCATTACTGGTCATTTAAAATTAGTGTTTTGAATCATAAAAATGTAAAGACCTGCACACTACAGTGTAAGATTTTTACATTGTGAATATGTGCACACAAGAATGTGTTTGTGTAGTTTTGAAATATCGCTCCAAATACTTTCATTTCAGTTTTTTAATATTAACCAAGTTATTTGCGAATGTAACTCAGATTTTTGTCTCCTGAAGAGAATGCTTCCATTAAGATTGGAGCGTAGGAGTTTTATATTGTCGAAAAATACATACATTCTTATAATAGGAAATGCTCTTGAAGACTCAGTTAAAATGTTAGAAAAATTTTAATAATCTTTCTACTTCACAATATCTGCAGAAAATATAATTATGTCTGTCTTAGGGCTAGAAAGCATGTCATATGAAGAGTAGTTAAGGACTTCGGGCTTGTCTAGTTTGGAGAAAAGGAGGCTGAAGGCTGACCTCATTTCTCTCTGCAGCTTCCTGAGGAGGGAAAGTGGAGGGAGAGGAGCTGATCTCTTATCCTTGGTATCCAGTGACGGGACACATGGAAATGTTTAAAAGCTGTCCAATGCAACTGGACATTAGGAAACATTTCTTTACTGAAAGAGTGGTCAAACTGTAGGCTTCCTAGAGGGGTGATTGTTGCCCCATACCTGTCAGTGCTTAAGAGGCATTTGGACAATGCCCTTAATAATATGCTTTAACTTTTGGTCAGCCAGGAGCTGGTCAGACAGTCGGGCCATGTGATCATTGTAGGTTCCTTCCAGCTGAAATATTCCATGTCCTCTAACGTTGTCTTGTTTGGTACTGGTATTGGAAATTTAAGAAATAACTATATAGACTATATAGATATACTATATAGGTAGATATTGCTATATAGATCAATATCTAAAATACTAAAGTAAATAAAGAGTTAATTAAGTTTAAATCTCGGTGTAGAAGGAAGACACTGAAGGAAGTCTGTGTGCTCAAAGACCTTGATTTCTCATACATTAGAACTCAGTGGTTAAACATGCAGCACAGAAGCTAGGTGTAGCTGTTTTGATATTATGGTGACCTCTTCCCTTTTGCCCCTTACTAAGAATTAACTATATGTTTCCTTTCTTTTACCTATCACACAACCTGGTCTGTGGTTGTATCTTGATTTTTGATCTGTGTTATTCTTAGCAATGTTCTAGAGGTCCTACTGCGAGTAAATCTGTACATCTGGAAAGAAATATAAGCATTTGAAGTTTTAAAAATTATTAATATGAATCAAATTCCAGTTGTAATGTGGGAATACCAACCCACTTAATCAAGACATTGAGCACAAGGAGCAATGTGGGACTTCCTGTGCTAGGTATTTCAATGACACAGTAAAGGAAACATGGCATTTTTCAACAATCAGTGAAAGCATGCAGAACACAAAAGAAAAACAGAAGCAAATGTTGTAAACAGGATGGGAGAGAGGAGTCCAGGCTGCTGGTGTTGAAGGGTAGCTTAATTATCAGAGGGGTAAGGACACATGCAAAGAGCACTGTAAAGGCATGACAAGAAGTTGGATTCCAGACTCAACAATTGCCAGCTGCCCTGGAAAAGGGGCTCAGTGACACAGGTCTGTGATGGTGAACTGACTGAAGCCAGAAAGAGACTATTGAGCAAAGAGAGCACATACATGTTCCTTGAGGGAATCTGTTGAAGCTCTGCTCACTTTCTCTATCTGCCATTGCCAGTGGGTAGAGTTGCATTTTCAGAATAGAATATAACACAAAGTCTGTTTCCCAATTGTTGTGTTAGCTGAAAGTAATAAATACATTTATACTGTGCTGCCTAGAAAGAGACCTGAAGTAGAAAGGTATATCCTCTTTTTACCTGCATGTATGTCTTGCAAGATTTTTAATGTTTAAATAGCACTTTGTACATTTACATACTTACCACTTCAAAAATTTATGAGCACTTTTGAATAAAATCCATGAGCAATGTATATGTTTCTGCATAGAAATTATGTTATACAAATGGCTACGTAGGTGTTTAACTGCAGATACAGCTACCACAAAGTAATCGCATACTATTGTCTGCATGAAGACTTCAGTTAGTCTAAAATACACACTTTATTAATCTTTTTTGTACTACATGACATTTCCATTTCTATGTTTAGTTAGGTTATTTTTGTGTTTAAAACGTAGAAATTCTAAATAATATAATTGCTTACGTTGTCTTCCTCACAAACAATACCTGGTTATAATTTAGACTTGAAATCAGAAGTGAATCAAACCAGAAAGATACCTTTGATGAAAGACACCAGAGCAAGTGATAGTTCCCAGGAAGAAGCCATAGACCACTGGGCCAGGAGACGCAGACAGTTCAAAGACAGCAAAAAATGCAGTTCAACTGGAGGAAGTTCCATAAACAGCACAATCACTGATGGATCACGTGAGTACCATAGTTTTATTATTATATTCTTTCTTGTTTGTGTGATTGACACTGTGACAGGTTTTTAGCTAATGAAATTGATCTTCAGCTCATAATCTGAATCTGTCTTAGTCATAGTGAGCAAGCATATTTTATTCAATTGAACTCCTCACTATGGGAATTAGTATCCTCTCTCCTTCATATAACCAGGCCAACAACATGATTGAAAAAAAAAGTTGTTTGCACCATCCTTGTCCATATGCAATTAATGTTAAGACAAGCTCTAGGCACAGACAAACAGGTTATCATCCATGAAAGCAGCTTTGAGGGTGTAACAAAAATAATAATCCTGATGCCTCCTTGGCTTATGTAAAAGACGTGGTGAGCTGGGAATCCCTTCTCTTCTCAGTCAGATAACCACCTACTCCATCTTTTGTCTTCAGGTTTGTTGCCTACATTGTCCTTCACTGTCTATCCAGTTACTGGAAAAGTTAGCCCTTTAATGGTCTCATTAAAAAACCTGCCACCTCACTGTATGCTCAAGCCTGTACCAAAATCAGAGGCTTAAAACCCATGGGAAAGAATTTTAAAGACTAACTCCTTAATGGAGTCCCCAAGCAAGGATTTCACAGTCTAGGAGAGAACATATGTGGTACTTCTTAATTCACACTGCCTTTGCATCCTCTTTTACTGTTTTAGTAATGTAAGAAGTACTTTGTACAGATGAAGAAATGTGCACTTTCCTGTGGAAATATTTTTTTATCTTATGTTTACTTTTGGTGAGGTAAGTGCTACTTGAAGATGTATAACCTCCTTTTCAAAGAAGGTTTAAATACAAACCTGTAGAAGAGTGCTGTCTGTAAGACCTCAGTGCAGGTCCAATAGAAGATAAACTGTAAATATATTGTATCTCTGAAGAGGTAAGTCCTACATCAGCAGGACCTAAATTCACTACCTAAACACATATGTCACTTACCAGCTGGGGTTCTCAAATAGAAAACCAACAGGGGACCCATGCCTTTTTTAAGCAGTAACTGAATGGTAAGTGCCATTAGATTGCACTAGAATCCCAAAGACATCTAATATGGTACCAGCCACCTATGTTCAGATAACTGAGTCAATTCTTAAGTTCTTAATGCCTGTTAACAAAGCAGCAGGGATGACTGACTTATGTTTCATGGAAATGAAGAAAAAATATATTGGTAGCAGTTTCCATACCTTTTTCTTCTACCACAGACTCAAGTTTATGGCAAGGAAATTAGAAAGTTACCATGTCAAAACACCAGAGCTCAAAAACACATACACCAAGATAAACTGTTCATTGATTTCAACACTAATGTCTCCTGAATATTAAACTGGACAATAAATTTTACTTGATCAGGCACATGCTGGTTTCATAGAGAAAATACTAAACAAACAAAAAAACCCACAACTGCCACATAACAAAAAGAAATAAAACTTAAAAAAATCCCACAAACAAACAAATAAAAAACAGACCAGTGGACAAGCTGCAACAACTAGAATTGCTTTCTTGCTTTTGGTAGCACAGGGCATGAACCTGAAGTGGCCCCCAGAACAGGGGGAGCAGACAATTCTATCACAGATTCTACAAACTGATAATTTTGGATAGCATGCTACAGGCTTGAGACTGTCCCTTTTGCTTTGGTGGCTAGGCTGTTCCCTACTGTTTGCAGTCTTGAGGCAGCTCTATTCAATATTTGGAAGAAGCAGCTCACTACATGCTTACTTCCAGCAGATAAGAAGAATGTTAAGTGCAATTTGTTGTTGACACTCATAAAACTGCTCAGGCTTACATCAGTGCCAAAAGCCCATGGAGGGGAGAGGTGAAAACACATTCAAAAAATGTCCTTGTCTAACTCCATAATGTCAGTATGGCAGCATTTATTTCTGTGGTTTACCCTGCTTTTCAGATTTTAAGCTCTACTACAGTTACAACAATTCAGTATTAAAAGGGGAAAATACTGTGCTGTACTGAATTACTTGATGCTAGTCTAGGTTTTCTTAATTTATAAATTTGTGGTAGCAAGCTAAGATGTGCTTTAAACTTACCTGCCTAGTACTATTTATTTGTTTATTTTTTTATCAATTAGTATCTTTTTTATACAGTTAATTATGTTATCCTCTTACAAGGTAATCATGCCATCTCATTTTTCCTTCATGCTAAGGGTGAAAGAAGCCAGTGGATGTGGAGTATTCATCTACATTCCAGACTGCTGCTGGAGAAAGAGGAGAGTGATGAGGGTCATCTGCTACTAGTTAAAAGAAAGCTTACTGAAGGAAAAAAAAATCAGTAAAAGGAAGAGTGGCTCATCCTGGCTCAAACCAGGACATTTGCAGTACAAAACTAAAGATTAATTTTTGTCTTTTCTGTTTTGAAACTGGAAATAATTCTGGATAATTGCCACACAATAAACAAAGCAAACAGAACCTTTCTCCAGCTGCACTAAATCTAGATGCATTATTCCAGACACTTTGTACTGAAAGCTGCATGATTTTTTGTTTTTCTCCTCTCAGACAATTTATACTAAAGTATTTATTTAGTCTATCTGTTAGCACAGCCTCTGATGGTTTATACAATTATATACCTTTTATCATCCAGTTTTAGCTTTAAAGTTCCAGATCCCAGACTGTTTGGGAAGTCATACTGTTGCATAGCCTTTTTTTCCACAGTCAAACTGCTGTTTATAGCCTGCATGTCACACAGTCAGCTGACTGCTGTCTTCTCTCCTTGTGATGCTAAACATTACTGCTTTTGCCTTTAGCAGAGAATTAGAGCTCTACTTCAACATATTAACCAGAAAGACATGGTTTGACTCTGTGGACTCATTGCAAGAAAATATACATATGAACCTGAAAATCCTTATGATAACAAATGCAGTCTCATACAAATACTTAACAGCCTAAGAAATGCCAGAAATTCTATATTGAAAAAAAAACCCAACAAAACCAAATGAAAGCACACAATCAAACAAAAACTATTATTTCCTAAGCTCCTTTTAAAATAAAACTAAATACATAAATCTGGAACAGCTAAGATTAAGGAAGCAGCAAATATGGTCATCATTACCTATGTCATGCCACTCACTTTTCATCTTGTCATTTGTCCTGCCATATGCACTGAATTCACACTCAATGTCTAGAAAACTTGTTTGGTTTCCTATTCAAATGGGCCACATGGGAAAACTTAACTATTTACAAAAGCCAGATTTCTCTTCAAAAAGTGCAGATCCTGTCTTAACCATTTGCTTTAAAACTTCACTTGGCATTCAAGATCAATATGCAATAGCATCCAATATTTTTATCCTTTATTTGGACATCTTTACAGACTGCCCCTTTAACACCAGCAAAATTGAAGAACCAAGTACAGACATTACAAACAGTTTACTGTGAAGCTTCTGGCACTTAATCCATGCTGATTGGATGAGATCAACTATTCCTCATGCATTTTCCCTACTGACATTATTTTTACTTGTTTTATTCTAATAACAGTAAATTCAGAGGACGCTCGGTCAGTAGATCTGGGACTATATTCTGAAAACGAGGACAGAGGTTTTTACACAGAAAACTTTCATTCTGCTTCCTGGGTTTTCAGAGGAGATGATGTCTCTCCAGATAACAGTCCTAGATGTCTCAGCAAAAGGCCTAGACCAGTGGCAAGTAAGTTGGCTAAAATAACAGGTAATAAAATATCTATTTTGGGCACTCTGAGGATTCCAGAAGATTAACATTTTGCAGAAGATGCTTATGCCTAATGCTAAAGACAGGAAAAAGAGCAACCCAAGAAACTAAAAAAAAAATCTCCTGTCTTGCAAAATATCATAATTACTTGACTTGACAAAACCTATACTAGTAAAAGGTCATAAATAAACCTCATCTCATGCTGTTTGATAAGGGTAGAAACAATGTAATTTCATAGCTTCTCTTGAAGTATGGCAAAATCTTAGCTATTTGTGGACATAAAGTATTACAACACTAATAAAATCCGTTCTCCATCAAGCTTTCAAACATAGTAGAACCAGAAAGAAAAGAATCATGTTTGCTGTGGATTAGAAAGGTTGTTGTGTTTGTAGTCCAATACCTGTCATGTGAAGAGATATAGTGAATAACTTGTGCAGGGAGATGGGAGGTTTTCCTTTACTTTTCAAATGTTAAGTTATTGAAAACTAGCACAGTTCAAAGAACTAAGTCAAATGAAACACAGGTGACAGTTCCTTTCTGGAGTTCATCAATCATCACAATATAAGAGAAAACAAATGTCCTCTATAAATATCCAGATACTAAAAATCTTCCCTAAAATATATAAAAATATGCTGCAAAGCTATTTTTATTATCTATTCTCCCAGGGGAGAGTTGAGACATTCAGCAAGACAATCAAAGTAGATGTTAAAATACCTGTGCTGTTTTAGATGGCCTGCTAGAAAATTTTTTAATTGGCCTGCTAGGAAAATAACCTTTAAAGTAATTTATGTCTTCCAAATACTAACTACATGGTTAGTAAATCTGCCTCCATTAAACAAACCCAGTAAAACAGTCAAATGATCAAAAGCAGACACTCCAAGAATTAAAATTTACATTTTAAACAGTAATAAGATTTACTAAAAAGCCAGAGCATTTGAGATGTCATTATAATAATACTGGACCCTGATAAAAAGTTGAGAGTAAGCAATTAGACCCTAATCTTCCTTTTTGCTTAACGGAATCCCTTTACAAGTTAAATTCTGCTGACTTGGAAGACATTTCACACAGGTACAATCACCAGTAGCAGAAGTTGCCAGTGCTATGGGAGTTGGACTGGAAGACTGGGAGGCAGTGGGAGTGGGGAGTGGACAGGGAAGGGTAGATAACAGTTGGTATCCAAAAGATAGAGATCTTCTAAAATATAAAAAGAATGAAACTACAAGAAACAAATTTACACTACTTTGAGAATTTAGAGTATATTTGTATGTAAGCAAGTCTAGTGAGGTTGTGGATGCCTCATTCCCAGAAGTGTTAAAGGCCAGTTTAGATGGGACTTTGAGCAACTTGATCTAGTGGGAGGTGTCCCTGCCCATGCAAAAAGTTTGGAACTAGCTGATCTTTAAGGTCCTTTACAACCCAAACTATTTCTATGATTCTGTGATTTTGTGTTTGCTGCTTAAAAGGCTGACACAGAGAGCAAGAGTGCTTTTCTCTCTCTCCAAATGGCATCAGCAGAGTGGAATATCTGAGTGCTACTTTACCTCTTTATCACAAAGTTCAGGCTGTTGAAAGTACACTTCAATGATGCTCTCTGTCTTTGCCCTAACACAAATGACATTCAATCACTCATGATGTGAGGGGGATGCACATGGGCAGAGGAGCAGCACCAAATAGCTAGGAGTGGTACTGAAAGCATCCTAGCCATTTGCAGAATCAGAAACTATCAGTGCTTACAGATAAGAAGTTTTAAAACAGGCTGCTGCTGATTAAATCGAGCTTGACTTGCAGAGAAAAAGGTGTGTCTTTTGTCCTCTTTCGCAGTTCGTGAAAGACTGGTGAAGATTGCTAAAGGCACTGGCAACTACCCTTGGGGTTTCAGGATCCAGTTCTCAAAGCCTATCCTTGTGACTGAAGTTGACACAAGTAAGTTGTGTTTGTACTAGTTAAATTCTCCTTATTAAAAGGTATGAAAATAAAAATATATTTAGTAATAGAATAAGCTAGACTATAACATATTTATAGTACAGCATAATACAATACACATAATATTTAACATCTGTTTTATAATAATATATGATATAGATGTACATAAATACTTCCACAGTTAGCAATGTAAGGTGTTTACTAGCATGCCCTTGAACTGCTCATGATGAACTACCTTAGGGTCCCAGTATGCCTGTAGGTAAATGGAACCGAACTGTTCTTTGTTCTTCCATAACAGCTGACACCTGGTGCAAGTGTCTGCATCCAGCCTTTCTGCAGATGTAAAGTCTAGAACATCTGGGGGCTGACATACATTAATGATAACAGACTTCTAAGAATAAAATGGAGGATGCAGGATCCTCGCAACAACATTTCCAAAGGTCTTACTAGCTGAGGACACTTCTGCTTGGATGGTTTATAACACCATTTTAGAAAGCCACTTATCATCAAGCCATTTATGAATCTTTATAGGTGTGTTGTTAACTTCTTCAAAGTAGTCCAATGATTATGAAGAACTCACAAATGGAGTGAGAGAGAAAAAAAGTAGCAAATTAGTTTCAACAAAGATGAGGTGTAAGATAATGCCTCTAGAGAGGGATGATCTATGCCTACATAACAGAGAACATGGTATTGGCAGTTAGATCTTGGAGTTGTGAATAAGAAAGGTCTCTGGAATCATTGGCTCTGTGTGCAATTGCAGTTTAGAAATCTGGCTAAAGGCTGGATCCATCAGTTAACAGCAGTAAGAATGAGACACAGGGAGTCAGAATCGCTTTGCTGCTACCTAAAATCTGGGTTCATCCAAATATAGGATATTTCTAGCTGTACTGCTCTCTGCATCTCAGGACAAATATGGTAGAATTAAAGGAGAAGAAGGCACAGGACACTGGTAAACTTTGCTAACAAAGTCAGCTATTATGGAAAATGTCATCCTAGACCAAGAGTGCTAGTGAGTGTTGTCTAGCCAGGCACCTCAAGAATAGCTCTGTAACTTTCTCAGTCTTATTTATTCTATTGTTCTACTTCCTGACAACACTGGGATGCTGCTGCTCACTTCAAAAATCATTCTAACTTGTTGTGTCAGACACAATATTCTACATACTAAATACTAATAATAAAGCTTTTCAACTGGAAGAGAAACTCAGGCAAAGGAGTTATTTTATTACCTTACTTTTCTTATCTAGCTATGCCTACTATTTATAAAAAGGATCTCTTAATATTTTACTGTAAACTACATGAAAACAAACATGATTTTGACACTGGATCCTAAAGATCATTCTGTATTTACAGATATTTGAATACAATCAGGAATTTTCATTATAAATTGAAGCTTTGTCAATAACATAAGTCTAAAAACTTTGCCTGTAGAATACGATACAAAGAACTTTGTCAGACTAAATTGTGGCTAAAGTGGCTATGTAATGTTCTTTAGACTGAAACAGCTACTTAATTTTAGTCAATAATATCTTTTAATATTGCTTGTGACTAGATAATCTTCACAGTATAACTTCTGTGAAATGTGATTTGCTGTGAAACTGAGAAAATAATTCTGAAGAAGAAAACTCATTCTGCTCATCTTATTAGAAAGTTACTTTTCACTACATGACTAAAGATCAGTATCATTCCTTGCTGGTTATTTAAGAAAATAAAATTACTGGGCTCAGCCATCATTTGCCTGAATAGCACAACTAGGACTATATGTGAGAGCTTGGACAACAAGCTCTTCTTATCAGATTGCTGGAAACCATGACTTTTTTGTTCCTGTTTATTATTAAGCTTTTACTTGTCTTCCAATGAATGATGATATTTACTGCATGATAGGGTACAAAATGCATGCTAATTAGTATGGACATGAAACAATATTTCTCAAAGCAAATCTTTTTGCTGTAGATTTGGAATGCTTAATTCTAAATGAGGAGGAAAAAACTGTCAAAGAAATTTCTAACTGGGATTCAAGAAACTGTGTATTGGTGCCTGTGAATGGAGCATATTTATCATTTTTCTAACTTGTCTCCATCTCTAACTAGGATGTATCTGAGCCCTATTTTATTAGGAGTGCATGTGTTTTGCAACAGTTCAGAAATATACTAAAGTTTAATACATTAACAAATCTGATTCAGTCCTTCCTTCACCAACCCTTTGTTAACTTACAAAGTTACTGCCTCCTAAAAGTAAAACCCACAAAATACTATAGTGATATTTGGTTAATCAGTAAGAGAAACATCAGTATGGAAAACAGTCATTTGGTCTTAAATCCAAAACTCACTGTAATAACAGATGTTTTTCCTTCTGATTTTAGCGAACATTGCACCAGATTTTTCTTTGCAGTTTAGGCCAAAACCCTCAGATACTGGAATGCCTATTTGCATCTTAAAGCATTTAAGTCCTACTGGCATTTTTAATTAAATTTGTCCACTGGCAGTGAGTAGCTATGTTGAACTAGTACCTAAATCCTGAAGCTTCATCTACAGGCATCTAACAGGTTGCTCAGAAAAACCTGCTCCCCCTCCAGGTGGACATCACAAAGGTCCTGAAGCATAATCCTTTACTGATTGGACAGATACCTGTTTTGCTAAAAAAACTAGATCACATAGATGTGCTTGATATCCTAACTCTAGATAAAATAGTTTTTTTTCATTTCAGACAGTGCAGCTGAAGAAGCAGGTCTTCAGGTTGGGGATATTCTTATAGCAGTCAATGGGACTGATGTCACTAACATGCCACATTTAGAAGCTGCCAATCTGGCAAGGAAAGGTAAGCTAGAGATCACAGTAAATCGAACAGGTGTGTCTGGATTAATGTACAATGCTCCAAATACATCCAGACAAGTTGGGTAATACATGCAACAGAAATCTTATTTAACATTTTAATGCATTAGTATTTAATACAGTAGTCCCCCTTTTTTTCTTTTTCTTTTCTTTTTTTTTTTTTAAATCTAGACCTTGCTAAGAACATATTCCCCAAAGATCACATGTGACAGTAAGAATTTTGCTGGCTCTCCTGTCTAAAAGAAAGTAGCTGAGAAAATTCTGAAGGTGACTGCAGAGACACCAATACCTTATATATGCCTTATGCTTCCTTAGAGAGAGAATTCATGTCTTGATTCAGTGCACTTAGTTGTTATTTCTGGCACCAAGACCTGAAGTCTAGTCAGGAGAGTAGAGAACTTATTTCATGAGGTATCCTTTTGCAGCACCACAGAAACAAGGAGTCAGTGGTGTTAATTATTATTCTACCTAGAACTGTAATGACTAAAACCCAAATATAGCCATGTCTGGATGTTGAATATTAATCTACTGCAGTTATTTTATTTATCCTAGGTGTGGTTTTGACAAGAGCCCACAGGAAATTCAGAAAATTAAAATGCTTTTACAGAACAGTGACAAATTTAACTTGATACATACCAAGTTCTTTAATTTTAGATATGTCATTCACATTGTTATATTTAAGAGTATGTTGAGTCTTTTAGTAGATAAATCTGTGATTACTAGGTATTTTTAACCTTAGAGAACACCTTCTGGCCTAAATCTTAGAACACAGACAATGTCAAATGTTCCCTAAAGAGAAAATCAGCCAACTTATAAAATATGCAAGCACCTAAGCTGCTGCTTGCAAGGTAGGTCACAAAAACTGTTTTAAGAGTTGTCTTCAGATAGCTAGCTCCATTACTACTCTTCAACACAGGATTAGTTTCATTCCTGAAATTCTATTAGAAGAAGGTCAAACACTGATTTAATTCACCAGGATCCTTTGCTCCTCACTGCTTCTAGAAGCTACACTGGTAGAGGAAGGGTATGGTATAGAATACTGTTTTCCTGCTCCATACTCTATAATGGTATTAAAAAAATATTGACAGACTGTATTATGGTCTTGACCTGTGTTTTCACATTCTTCATGTAATATTTTAGGTCCTGATATCTTGACTATGGTGGTAGGATCAGATATTAGCCGTTACCCTAACACCCCAAGACCTACTTGCCGAGGATATTTGCACAAACGAACACAGTCAGCAATATTGAAGGGCTGGAGAAAGAGGTGGTTTGTGCTGAAGCATAATGGCTACCTACACTATTACAGAAACAAGAAGGTAAGCAGAGAGAGACTGGTGAAGAAGCAAGCTGTATCCTGAACTACAAACTGCAGTGGTATTGTACTCAAATTTACAGACCTTGTCTTGTAGTATTTACAGAATAACACCAGCACTACATATGTTCTCATATGTGGTATATAGAGGGGGCTTGCTGAGTAGTTCTACGTATAGACATTCAGGTTTTTATGAATTCACATTTCATCTCTTGTTTCTGATCATCTCTATTGATGACTCTATGTATTGAATAAGCTCTGGGAGGCTTTGGATTAAATTAGTTGAGTTTGAGATGTCTGGGAGCTCTGCATTCCCTCTACTGTAATTTCTTAAATAGTCTTGAGCATAAGGTTTCTTTGTGTGTGTGAATAAGCTACAGATGTGGACAGAGACATATTGGGGAGGCTAAGTTTCCTCAGAGTAGCATTGCCCAACGCTTCATCCTCTGTCATACTAACAGTATATACTACCTTGACTTCATGTAAGTCATCCAAAAAAGGACTAGAACAGATGCTTCATGAAGAAAATATTTTACTTGACTTTACCCCGAGGCTCCATTTCAACATGGCATAACTTACAACCTTGTAGTTTTATGATGAGTCTTAAAGGCCCTAAATCAGTGGCTTCATGGTTATCTCAGCTACAAACATTTGAGTATTCTACATGGTCATTCACCACTAAATAAATTAGTAAATGAAGACATAGCATTTAAAAAGAAAAAAAATAAAATAGCAGCAGTTAGCTCTGGATACAGCAGGCATGCCTCACAGTCCTGGTCACAGCAGAGCCGGTGAACCCACTTGCTCTGTAGTGGCATTTTACTGTAGTCTGTAAGGCAGTTCAGTGGATACTGCATGAAATTACAAGTTACTTAATCCCTTCCCCTCAGTAGCTTCATGATTAAGTTATTCACTGAGAAAGTTATGTCTATAAAATTGAAGAGATTGATTTCAAAGCCTGTGCTCTGTTCAGGACTTTTTGTGGCAAAGTATTTTACAGCTTGTAGAAAAGACTCAAGGTCATCCACTTAAGATTAGTTTTTAATTTGATTTCAAGAAAACTTAGTGAAGCTGAGAAAATTTGCCTCAGTGACGGATTTATCACTAGATAAAGCCCATATATGTTCCAGGGAATCTCCTAGCTCACCTAGGAAGGGCATCACTGGAAATAACAGCTGGTTAGAAACAGGCATGTCTCCAACACATCATTTGAACACGTACCAGTGAAACACACCCATGTTTACCTGTAATAAAAACTACATGAGAAGCTGAGCATGGCACCAAATCCTTGATCTGTAAATAGTTCTTATCTTTGCTAACATGATCACACACCTTTTGGTCAATTCATTGTATGAAGGATGTAGATATACATGTACACAACTACGTAAGTTGACATTCCAGCACAGTTTTGCAATAAACATGAATATAATCTAGACAAAAAGACAGTGTTAAGGAACTGCAGCCAACATATGGTGAGAGGGAAGCTAATACTACAGGCTTCACTCCTACTCATGAATCTATCTTTATATTGTTCATTCTACTATTTAATCTCTCTCTATTTCATACATCAGTCTCCCATCTATGTATTTCATCTTTTGCTCATTTCTATTAGCTTGTTTGGTGATTTTTATTTGAATGTTAGAGACACTTCAGTAAAATCCACATTTGAGTTTTCTTACCTTTTTAATAAAAACAAGAAAACTAATTATTTTTACCTGAAAGATGCCAATGCAATGCTTCCCAAGGACTGGACTTTGGGGACTGCATGGGTTAATCTTACTGTAGAGTTCAAGGCCTTTAATATGCCTCACAGTGTATTTTGGTCAATGTTCCTACTGATCCTAACCATAGTTTTTCATAGATAATACTGTGAAGACAAGGAAAAGAATTCACTGAGGCACTGCAGTTCCACATCCAAACAGAAAGAAATGAAGCTTTCAGCATTTAAGTTTCTTGATCAAAACCAAACACTTGTGTGAGTAAAAGACATTTTGTGAAAAGCAAATAAAAGTTCTAAAGAGATCTTGGTCTTTTACATTCTCTATCCACCTACAGAAGAAAATCTGGTAGGCTTATTTCTCTGTGCATGCCATGAAGTCCACACTAGCCATCTAATCTGGGTTATGCCACAGAACCACTGCCTATGCAAAAAAGCAGTCTGTCTTTCCATAATACATCATCATCAACATCATCATCAACATTATTTATTCTGATCTAAAACAGCAACAACAACAACAAACATCAAATCACACATTAAAAGGATACAAGCATATAAGAACACTTGTTTGCAGAGGTTTTTATTTTATCCTGCTCAGGTCCTTCACCAAGCCCCTGAAATGTAAAAATAAAAAAATATTTACTTATGCCTTTTAAATACTCTCCACCTTCCAGTGAATATTGCAGTACTATTGTAGAAACTGAAAGCACAAGAACTTCCTTACTGCCTCATGTGCTTACAGAGTACTTTAAAAAGCCATTTAGTAAGATGAAATAAAGGTGCTTAAATACAAATGGGCTTCTTCACTACTGAGAGATCAAATGCCACAATGAAGTAAGCAAGCTCAACTGGACTCGTTGGCACTTCCTTCTTTTGGTATGGTTTCTGTCAGGGCATAAGAACAACAACATATGCAGCTTCTGCTCATTCCTCTTTCTTTTGTAAGGGAATGACAAATAAAGTTCTTAGCTTATTGTGGCATTTATGTAATGTCAGCTGCATGATTAAATCAGAAAGATTATGTTCCAGGCTTTGTCTTACTCTGGACGAAAAATTTTCCCACTTAGTGGATATAGGATGTTCTTTGAAACAGTTCATTGAAGCCAAGAATAACTCACTGAGACAGAAGTAGCTCAGGATATCGTCAATTTCCAGGTCTTGATTCTGATGTGAAGAAAAGCATTTTATGCTGGTGTAATTCCAGTGGTTCCAGCAAGGTCATGCCTGATTTCCACATATCCACATAAGAAGACAACTAGGCCTGTTACTTATGCCTGAAACCGTGCCCATAATGTTTAGTCATGGGTGTGGATAGGATGTTTTGTCTTCTGTTTTAGTCCGTATTAACAAACACAGACAACTACACTTCCTCATAATTGCTATTTACAGGCAGAAATTTTTCATCCTGAGCCTTCCTTTTCCCACCTACATTAAAAAAGAGATAGATGTTTCTAGAGCTTTTTTCATATTGATTCACTTATGTAACTGCTGCTGTTTCAGACTCATTTCTATCAAATCACATATTGATAAAGTCATAGCTGTTGCAAACGATCCAGTCACTTTACATACAAGGTAATTGTTTTCCCTCAAACACATGCTACCACTGACCTTGACATAGCTATGTTTACCACCTCACAGCAAAAGTATTGGGCACATTTGGTTAGACCCTTGTTCTCCCCACCTGAGATCAGTGGAGATATAATGATTTATAATATTTTTGCCTACACTTAGGAGCAGCAGAGTTCCACTGCACACTCTACAGTTCTGATCCTCCATTGTCCAGATCACTGGATCTTCTCAAATCTGTTATTCCCTACTTTGCCAATGTGCCCAGTTATTTTCCTAAAGGAAAGATATCTGAACATTGGGAGGAGACAGACAATGATGTACACCTAGGTGTCACCCTGAGGCAAGTTTAAGGAAAAGCTGATAACACATCAGCATACTTAAGCACTGGTTCTTTACAGATAGCAGTGTCTGCTCCTCTAAAACTGGCACTTGCTGCTCTGCACAGTAAAGTGGCTGCAAAGTCAGCACAAAATTACTATGGTGAAGGCTGCATTGCAGGGCAGAAAAAGAATTCTCAAAAGATTGTGTTTGTAACAGTGCCCTAGCTCCACTCTGGATTGTCTCTTGTGATGTTCTTAGTAATTATTTCATGTTCCTTTGCCAGAAATAGATTCTGGGCAAGAGAATGAGACAGAAAATTAATCTAATACCTGAGAAGGAAAATATGAAGTAAATATCATTGAGGTTATAGTCTAGGAGAAGCAATAAAGATGACTGATGTATTCTAGTCAAATCAGCTTAGTATGTCAGGTCCTTATGTTACTTTTGTCATTTATTCCATTTGTCTCTCCAGTTATTAGGAATAAATGTCTGAAGACTATGACTTACCTACCAGCATTTTGTACGGACTCAAAGTAGGAAAGTCAAAAGAATAAACTGTGATATGAAGGAAGTTGGAGCAGTTAAGTTGAAAATAGTAGTTAAGTTGGGAATTGCTGTCCTGACAGTAGAATCACAGAATCACAGAATGTTAGGGGTTGGAAGAGACCTCCAAAGATCATCAAGTACACCCCTCCCTTCAAAGAAGTATCAAAACTAGAGTAGATCACTCAGAAAGACATCCAGAGAGGTCTTGAAAGTCTCCAGGGACAGAGACTCCACAAGGTCTCTGGACAGCCTATTTCAGTGTTCATTAACCCTCACAGTAAAGAAGTTCTTCCTCATGTTGAGGGGGAACTTCCTGTGCTCGAGTTTGAATCCATTGCCCCTCATCCTATCACAGGGCATGAGTGAAAAGAGGTTGTCCCTGCATGCTTGACACCCAGCCCTCATATATTTATAGGCATGAATTAGATCTCCCCTAAGTCTTCTCCTCTCTAGACAAAACACCCCAGGTCTCTCAGCCTTTCCTCTTAAGGCAGGTGTTCCAGTCCCTTAATCCTAGTGTTGAATAGGACTGGACCCAGCACTGTTCCCTGTGGGACTCCAGTAGTTACAGGTCTCCAGCTGGACTCTGCACCATTGATCACTATTCTTTGGCCCAGTTCTTAATCCATGTCACTGCCCATTCTTCTACCCCACATTTCCTGAGCTTGCTCATGAGGATGTTGTGGGAGACAGTGTCAAAAGCCTTGTCAAAGTCAAGGTAGACGACATCCACTGGTCTCCCTGCATCTATCCATTCAGTCACAATATCACAGAAGGCTGTTGATTAGTCATACATGATTTCCATGAAAAGAGCATGCTATACAGATTCAGATGTAGCATGAGATTGAATTGCGAATAAAGAGCAGATCCACCTTCACATGTAGCCTAAGCCTCAGGGAAATGATCTTCATGATAGTTCATGGTTGTAATGCTTTGAAGGATGTTGTAAGAAAACTACAGCACATGCTCTTGGGGAGTACTGTCACTGAACATAGTGGCAGCAGTGAAGGGGAGGGATGTGCTTTTTTTCAGCCTTCATTTTGATTATATATTACAATGTCAGTTTAAGAAGAGAATTATTACTTGCCTTTCTTAGGCTCACAAGTTTTATGACTGTAAGAAGCCCTCACGCATAGTGTGAGTGGCTAAGACAAAGTTTCTCAAAGCTGAAGTGGGAGCAGTGAGAATAAAGATGTGCATTTCTAAACATCCAAAAGCAATTGGACCCTAGTAAATAGGGTAAACAACTGCTACATCACCTAAATGATCAGATGTCAAATCATACTCCTGTTCCCGTTTTTAAGCCAGTCCATTTCAATAACTGCACAGAATCTTTTCTTCCCTCTTTCTTGCAGTTTAATGCATCCAGCACCTGGGCAATCAAATATTGCTCAGATAATTATAGAGCGCTATTTACATTAAAAGGGGTCCATAACCTTCACTTTTTCTCAACAATAGAATGCTTTCCTCATTAAATATTCTTTAATTAGTAGTGTCTCTGTGAAGGCAATTACTGTTCCTTAGTTGTGTCTATTAGTGTGTGTTTGTATTTGTAAATCATTCTGTTCTCAGCCTTTGCTATATTCAGAAAACCTGGAAACTGTTTTACAATTTGCTGTTTCTTTTTATTCCAGCTAAGATTCAAGAACAACATTTACACACCTCATATATCTGGATGGATACCAGTCTTCTATTTACCTTTTATTCACATCAAGACACATCACTTTGTATCTAGGCCTCACAGAATAATTTAAAGGCCTCCCTTAACACAGAGAGCTAATTTAAATACACAGTTAAACATTCCCTTTTGCTTCTGCAGTTGTCTTCTCTGTACATGGGAACAGAAAGTGTTCATTTTACAGAAAGTGTATTTACCAAAATTTTGTAAATCAAACACTATAGTACACTTTTCTGGTTGCTTGTGTGTAACCTAATGATTGTTCCCAGTATAAAAGAATAGAGAGGGAAAAATGTTTTTAAATTATCCTAATTTTTATCATATATACAGAGTCCAGTTATTATAGGAAGAAAGAAATCCCTTGCCTACTGAGTACAGACCCTTCACAACACTTCAATCCATTTCAAGCATTCACTCCTTTGTTCTCATTGGCAGGCCCGTGTGTTCATTGCTAAGCCTAAGCACTTTATATAAAAAGCTTAGCTATAAATTGATTTAGGTCTGAGACATTGCTTATACAGATAATACTTCTGTTTGTTCTTCAGTCTTGTTTAGAGCTTTATCATTATGGTCTGGGATTTTACACATTATTTAGACCTAGTGTACAATCTGATTTTTTATTTATGTTCTCTGTGATTCCCATTGCTTCAGGATATATTTTTCAATTTATGTTTAAGGAGCTGCTGAAACCAAGTTTTCAAATACCTTCACTGTTATATTTCTGTTATTAACACTGGCTGATAATATATGCAAGTTAATTTTGTACTACTAAGAGATTGCATACCCTGACCCCAAGAGAGAATCATAGTCAGGTATTATATTTGACCTGATTCAAGAGGTTCAATTTTAATCCAATCAGTAGCTCTTCCTGTGAAGTCTGGTCCTGCTTATTCACTGCCTCTCAATTATTTGCAGTGAATGACTCAACCTCATCTAAAAAAACAACTGGAATGTGAAAAGCATGTGATTGTACTTCACAAGACCATGTGATTGTACTTCACCTGACAGCCAATACAGTTAGGTGTAGGTTAATTAGGTTCTTCAAATCAGAGGAGCGTTTGTATCTTTTCCCCCTGATTTCTTACCCTTCAGCATGCTTCTGCTCTCTCTAGTTTAGATGTAAGTTTTTTAAAGCAAAACAAAATAAAAAACTAAATAAATTTAGCTCTACTGGTGAAAAATGTCATACGAATTACTGCTTTCATTCTAAACAGCACAAAAAGTGTTTAGAAAATTAGTTTATAGGCATGTGCAATAACAGTGGTCACATTATGTTTTCAGTATCTGCAGTGACCATTGCCCTCAGGCTAGGACAGTAAGGAGAACCCAAACCACAAACAGAATAAAGCTGAATAACACTACAGCAAGCTAACACGCTTTACACTAGGAATGAGATTTGGTCCCTGATTATGTATTTTGCTTATGCTATCTTTGTAATGTAGTTTTTGTTTGAAGGTATTATAAGTAAAGCAGGTGACACAGCATTGACAATTTCCAGAATTACTTTAGTTTTGCATTTTAAAAAATAGAAAAAGAAGCAGAAGTATCTAGGATATGCATTCATGAATGTTTACACCATTCTTCATTATTGGGGCCTATTTCATTCCTACAGAAAATACATGTGTAGCAAAGGGATAATTATATGTGCCAATCAGCATTACAAGCAAGTATTTAACTCTGTAATATCCACAGCTGCATATTTTGTTCATGGAAGCAGCTCCATGAAGAGGTCAAAGTCCACTCTCCTGAAGTCCAGTCCAGTAAGCAAGCTTACTGCTTGCTTCATACCCTCCTTGTTGCCCTATGTATCCTGAATGCCACCATTTCATGGTCACTGGAGTCAAGGCTGTCCTTAAACTTCATTTTGCTCACCATCCTTGTTGGTGAGAACAATGTCCAGCATAGAACCTTTTCTCGTTGATTCCTCTACCACGTGGAGAAAGAGTCATCAATGCATTCCAGAACTTCCTGGATTGCTGCTGCCTTACTTTGTGGTCCCTGCAGCAAATGTTAGTGTAGTTGAAATCCCCCATGAGGACCAGGGCTTGTGAACGTGAAGCTGCTCCTCTGGCTATAAAGACCCTCATCCACTTGATCTTCCTCGTCAAGTGGGCAGTAGCAGATGCCCACTATGATATCACCTGCCTTCCCTTAAACCCTGACTCACAAGCTCTGGGTCAGCTCATCATCCATCCCCAGGCAGAGCTCCATGGATTCCAGCTGGTCATTGATGTAGAGGGTGACATCCCCTTCTTCTTCTCCCCTGCCTGTCCTTCCTAAAGAGCTTATACCCATCCATTCCCATGCTCCAGTAACAGGATTCGTCCCACCATGTCTCAGTGATGCTAATAACATCATAGACCTGTGGACATGTACATGTGCAATTCCTTATTTGTTCCCCATGCTATGTGCATTTGTATAGAGTCATTTAATTTGGGCCTCCGTTTAAGCTGTCTTTCTGGCTATGATTACATTCTCCTTCATTTCAGGTGTTCTCCTGTAGGCCTGTGATCTTCCTCCAGGCTTAGAGCACCTATCAGTGGCATTCATCTCAAAGTGGTGCCAGTGGGATGGATTGAGGATTCCCCTCCTCTGGCAACTCCTGTTTAAAGCCCCCTCTATTAAATTGGCAAGTCTGTGGTCAAAGATGCTCTCCTCTTTCTCTGAAAGATGTACCCTGTCAGCCCCTAGGAGAATAGGGGGGTTTCCCTGGTCTAAGAAGCCAAAGGCCTAGCTGTGGCATCACTTCCACAACAATTTATTGATTTTCCCAGTGTGATTTGCCCTGTCAAGCCCCATCTCTTCAACAGGGAGGACTAGTAAAAAGACAATCTGCACTCCCAAGTCCTTCTTCACCACTCCCAGGGTTCTGTAATCCTTCTTCATGGTTCCTGGCTGTGTCATCAATACCCACATGAAGCAACAGAAGTGGATAATAGTTGGTGGGACATACAACTTTTGGTAGCCTTTCAATGACATCCTTGATATGAACCCTTGCTAAGCAGAAGACCTTGCTAGAGAGTGGGTCAGGTCAGCAAATAGGTGCCTCTGTACCTCTCAGAAGAGGCTCTCCCACTACTATCACCCTTCACTTCTTGTTTCCATCTGAAACACTGAGTCGGCTGGGTTGCCTTACTCAGCTCCAGCAACCCACTAGGTGCAGTGTGTTTTTTCTCCACAACCTCCAAAACTGCAAACCACTACTGTAGAGGCACCTTGGGTTTTCAGGGAAGCCTCTTCTTCCTGTTGGTTTTTGCCTTTGAAATCTTCCATTCCTTTCATTATTATCTTCTCCCCTTTCCATGTGTGCTAGTGAGGGAGTTACTGGCTTTGTGGCCATAGGCTGTGAGTTAACTGCAGACTGGCCTGGATTCCAGTATCTGTCTCTTTTTCTGCCTTCCTGATATTATGCAGTGAAGAAATGTTTCACCTACCTACTTACATGAAGGAGTTGAATGGCTTATTATAATAAGCCACAGAGAAGGACACTGGCAATAAATACCCTTCAGTTTCAAAGAGCTTTAACTCAATCAGAAACAATATGGTATAAAAAACTTGGAAATGCTTTCAATTGAAAATTGTCTGAAATTAATGGGAACGGGTATGAGCACACTGATATTTAGGACAACTTAGCAAAGGAACTGAAATCCAGCCTTTTAAATTATGCTCACTGTTTTTAGATTTGAAGTCTTAGTTGCTTTTATTTACACAGATAAAGTGAGGTTTTCAGCATAAATTCTGACTGCAAGCATCACTGCTCAGTAAAGAGACTCATGAAAATCCCACTCTCACTCAGCTGTACCCTCAAAATCTGGTATATTTACAAATATTAGCAAGGTCTCTGCATGCAGATATGACTTCTGATGAACCAAAAACAGTTAAGAAAGCAAAAATAGAGATGCAAATTTAAAGGATGGCTTGACTAGTGTATCTTCTGTGACTCCACTGTATTTTCTGGGGTTGCTGATCATATGACAATTTTAACAGTTTCAAAGCATAAAAGCATATCACCAACTTCTACAGCTTTGAATTTTCGCTGAGTTTATTCCCATCTCACAGGGGTCATTTTCATACTAGTTCTGAACTTTGGGACTGTTTCTCTCTAATTGCAGGATGAAGGGAAGTGCAGACCCCTGGAAGTAACAAAGTTGGAAGGAGCAGAAATTGGTGTTGATACCAGTCTGGGTAAACCATTTGTTTTTAAATGCATACCTCAAAGTGGAAACAGAATTTTCTACTTCTGTGCAACTTCCAACCAAGAAATGAAGAGGTAAGTGATCTTCCATTTTAGAAGGTCAGGTTTGTCATCTTGGTATGGGGAGAGGGAGTCTTAATTTTTGAAGGATGTTCACAATATTTGCCTTGATAAATAGGAAAAAAATGCAACCAACCCACAATCTGTCAGCTACTATCGTAAGATGATGTTTCTAATTTTCATTAGCACAAGTTTCAAAAATTAGTTTTCAGCTTCACAGGTTTCTTGATGGATCTTTTTTTATCTTCAGAAAAAAATGTTAACCCATATTCTTATGCCTTCTCCCCAACTGCTATATTCAAATGGAAGTGTAAATCTTGTGGATGTAAATTGCCTTATCAGTCATTCCACCGGAATTATCTCTCTTCTGTCCAACAAGGACAGTGCTAGTAAAAAATAGAATCCCATCTTTTATTTCTATTTTTGTCATATTACCATTTTAGTATACCAAAGTGCAAGAATACCACCAAAACATGTTAGCTATGGTAAGAGGTAATGTGTATGGGTTTGACTCAGAGTTACAAAAATATTCTTTTTGATTTCCCAAGAACTATAGGTGACTATAGTCCCAAGTGACTAAAACCACCCAAAACACAAGAAACAATATTTTAGGCCTTACTTTTAAAATCTACTGAAATATAATCTTATTTTCCTCTTTGTTTTATTGTGAATTATCAAAAATATAAAGCTACAAAGTAGGATGGAATTTGGTATTCATCCACCCATCTTTTTATAACATCTTATTACATAACATAGCGCTCACCATTGTCATATCAGAACATTTCCACTTTCAAATTCTATACCCTTCATAGCACAAGAAGAGTAACTTTGCCAACAAAGAGCTTGCTTTATTCTGTAGTTTTCAAATTCAGGATTCTTTACATTTCCCACAAATTCCATATCTACATTATAGCAAAGATAGAAGAGTGATCATTTAACCTGGCAGGTTGAACCATATAAAATACGTAGATTCCCTTGTCTGCAATATTAATCTATTACAATGCGTTATACAGCAAACTTTGAGACTTACTTTTATGTGAGTAAGCAATGCTTATTTGGATCTAATCCATTAATTTTCTGTCTTGAAGCTTTGAATGTGTCCTGAAAATAGCACATCCCTGTCAGCAAGATATCTGTCAGCAAGTGATAAAAGAAGCAGTGACATAGATATGTTCTACTCTACCAAACTAAGCTGTTCTCATGCTTTTTGTGGTATTATAGGTGGCTGGAAGCTATGGAAAAAGCAGTGCATCCTGTCCATCAGGTAATGCTTTATTTATATGGGAAGCTTGTGTATAGCAAATTTTGCAGAAGTCTGAGAGACTTTATGAGAGATTTATTTGTCAGGTGCAGAGAGCAACACAGAAGCTGAATATTTTTGTTCAGGGCTGCTAGGATATGAATCAGCTCCAATCTAAAAGCCATATACAGACATAATTGGGATTCAGCAAATATGCTTTGCTGCAGTATGGTGAGATTAATCCAAATGCTCTGTCTCCAGAAATCAGCAGCTTGTTCAGAAGTATAACCTAAAAGGAGGGTAGTGGGAACACAGGAATGGGGAAGACAACTCTCACAACCTCATATTCTGCCCTAGGTAATACTATTTGAAGTAAAGGGAGAGAAAGGCTCTACTTTCTTGAGTATTCCCGCAAATCTGCCTTATTTGCAAGATGCCTGCTTTTTCTGATTGTCAGTCAGGATTGACAATTAAATCAGAGACAAAAATGCTCTCAGTCCCCTCCCTCACCCACATAGGTAGGGAAGGAGAGAGAGATTGAAGAGAGAGAGACTTCCCAGATTGAAAGCAAAACTAGACAACTTCAATTAAATACTAATTATAAAAAAATATGTACAATTATATACAATTATGTGCAGGAATGTGCAAAATCCCTATTGCCTCCCCCCACCTCCAGTAACTCCCGCAGCATCTCCTGAGCTGTGAGCAGTTCTGAAATGTCCCAGAGCTGCCGGAGGAAGTGGCAGAGCAGACAGGAGCTGAGGGGAGAGTGATGAGGGTCAGGGATGCACAGGCTGGGGATCAATGGTGATGGATGGATGGAGTCCTCCTGGATGCTGGCCATGGACAGAAAAGAAGACAAGAAGCAGGAAGAAGGGCTTGACTTCTGTGATCCCTGACCTTACTCCATGCTTACGTAGATATATGGATGGAATACTTAGGTAAATTTTCCTGTCCATCTAGTCCATTCCTCCCTACAAGAGGGTTGCAGATACGACATTTCTGCTCCTGCAGCATCTGAGGCTGCAGATTCAACAAGTAGAGCAAAGTGACCTTGGTGTCTCAGCAGCAACATCAGCATTCCTGTAATATCAGTTTACTAGCTGGAAAACTTGCTGCTAATTAAAACAGAGTTCTCTAAAACAAACAAACAAACAAACAAACAAATAATCAGTTAAAGGAAAATTGGCTTAATCCTGTCTTAAACCAGGATGCTGATAGAATATTAGAAACAGGGTGAGGGCGGGTAGTTGAGTACTTATTTTCCTTACATTCAGAGATGAAGAAAAATAAGTTAGCTGATAAACTTTTACTGCTCTATCTCTTTATACAGCTATACTTCCTGCTGGCACCTATGGCTGCCAGAAATACAGCCATAAATAATCTTGAGCTGCTACAGAGATACCTTGTTGAGCTCAATACACTATAATATGAATAGTCCCTGGCTGAGCCCTGAACTGGAAACTAAAAAGCTGATTTTAGTACTTCCAGGGTTTGAAGCACAGGGGTCAGAGACACTTCAGCCTGCCCATTCCTGGCCCCATGATGCTGTTGACCTGTAAAATGTCTTTAAAACAGTTTAGCTACCAAATCAGTTTTGTAGCTAATTAGCAGAAGTAATGTGAGGCTCCAATGCAATAAGTGTCAAAGTCTATCTTTTTTGCAGATGAAATAAAATCATCAATTGAAAAATTTAAAAATTGCAAGTTACAACTTCTAACCCATGGGGAAAAAAATAATTTCAAAAATATAAAAAAGAAAAAATAAATTTACTTTCCTTCTTCTCTTAACCCTGGGCATATAAGTGACTCATTCAGCAGTTTTCTTTAGTGATTGGTTTCCAAACAGTGAAGTGAAGTGTTTATTCTTATTTTAATTCTTTCTCCACTGGAATAACATTGTTCAAACATAACTTTCTTTTGATTTCACCTTTCAGATAGGATTGTACATGCAAAACTAAATTTGTTTCCAAGTACATTCTACTTGGCAGTGTTTCTTAAAAAAATATAATTAATTAGTATTCTTCTGTATTCAATGTTCACATGGTTGAAAACAATAAAAAATAAACCAAACAATTTAAAGTGCATACCCTAGCCAAAAAAAAAAAAAAAAGAAAAGTAACCTGAGAAAAAAAAAAGGATAAAAACACACACACACAAAAGAGAGCACATCAAAAAAGTAATTTTTCATTCTAACGTGCAAAAAAAACTTGTTGGATACAAAGTCCCAACATTATACACAGAAAGATCTCTCATGCATTCACCCATTAAAAACACAGTAAGTTTGCTTTCTGTGCTACTGCATTTTAATTTAGACTGCCTAATATTTTTTAGTTTGCCTTTGTGGAACCAATATCCTTTTCTGACATAAATATTTGGTTTAACATGTCACTTTCACTGCTCAGCCTCTGTTCTCAATGAAAACTGTATCTGTTCCTTCCTTTTACCTGGACTTTCCATTCAGTTGAATAGAAAAAGCTTGTATTTTCCTTCAAGTTTGGAATATCTTTTGCTACTGGCTTTTTGCAATAGCTAGTGTGTTACCATAGGGCTCACAACACAATTCTTTAACAGCCCAATATACTGACACTATTTATCAAAATTAATCTATAAGGATAATTTTTAATGAATACACCTAGTATTACTGAAGCCTTTTTCTGCATTTTGCTGCATTTTTCTCAACAGGTTTCACATTCATAACAGATAATACAGCTAGCTATATTGTGACATGTCTTTTTTCTGTCATTGCCTTGTCAAGGATACCAAAGAAATACCATAAATAAATGTAAAAGAAAACCCCTACAGAAACTATCAGGAAGCTATTGATATTGCAGACATTTTCCCCATGGATTTCCAATGACAATGACATTGGTTGATAGAGAATTTGAAATATATGTTGCAGATGCGTACAACAGACTAGGAAAGTCTGAGTTCCTAATATCTCTCATATTTAAAGGAAAAGAATAAATGCTTTAATCTCATATTAAGCAACTTGGGTCTTATTAGATGACAGTTTATTTTTTCCTGATTTTGGATTCTCTTATCATAGAAATACAATGACAGTGTGTCATGGGTTGAGCTTTTCTTGACTTGTAAATGACAATAGGATAATTTTAGTAGCAAAGAAGACTCTGCTTTCAAGAGAGGGATGGAAAGGAATCCATAAACATTTTGTGTATGGTAGTGCTTCCATCTGAGTCTGAGTGCTGTATTCTGGCCTCAGCCACCATGATATTTTCTCTGGAACCCAGAGAGTAGATGGTGAATATTGTTTTGCAAGATTATACAAGGTAAGACTGCTGAAGACAATTTTTTAAAAATAAGATTCTTCATGCAGCTTTGACATAATTTTGTTCCTGACAGCAAAACTCGTACTGAAAAACAAAACAGATCCAGATAAGACAAGTTAACATTGTAAAATCAAAGCAGGTTAGCCATGATTTGCCATCAAATATAGGTTTTTCTAATCGCATTTTCAGTGTTGACTTTTCAAATTGTTTTCACAACAGAAGTGTGCCTCTTGATACTATCATTTCCTCCTTAATTTTTACTTTCCAACATGCTTACTTTACAGAACCACGTGTGGGTAGATGTCACACTGCATAACACTACACTTCCACCCTTGGCTATCAAAAACCCAGAGTGCCTGGGGCTTCTCCACCAGCTGGACAGAAGCAAAGACATCTGGACTCAGCACTACTGTGTTCTGAAGGATGGCTGTTTGTACTTTTATGCCACTCTCCGCTCTACACCTGCCCAAGGTAGGGATAGCTGCTAGATTTTAGTTGATCATTCAGAAGAAATGTTTCACAGCAGTTTACAAATTGAACTTTCACCACTAATGAAAGTCTCTTATTGGCAAACTTCTGAGAAGGTGAGTGAAAGAAGATCAGACTCAGTCTATTTTCATAAAATAGCCACCTAATTTCCCACCCCCATCTTCTTTTCCTCCTCTGTTCTTAATTTTTCTTTCTGGAATGGACCTTGTCAAAATTTGTGCACAGTACCTCAGAAGCAAGTATCAACAACAAAAGCCACCCATCCAAGGCACTTCACAGTGGCTGGAGCCAGTGTCACAGGCGGCAGTTTGCTGAAAGTTGTCGTAACATCCCTGGAGGGAGTGACATCATAAGCGTGGAGTGGTTTCTCTGCACTACCAGGTTTTCACATGGCCTTGGCAAACTTACTCCACACATCAAAAGGCAGAACTTCCATAGTCCAGCAAGGGTTGGTGTTCCAGGGTGTGGCCATGGACATTTGCAGCTAAAGCTGCCATTTAGCAGCTCTCCTCATAACAAAAGAAGGCGCCTGACCACTCTCTGAAGGCAGCAACTGGAGGCAACTGAGGTCAGTTGCAAGTAGAGGAGCTGAGTTTCAGGCACTGAGGGAAGCCTACTAGCACAAGTCTATGGAACACAGTAAAAAATAAAGAGGTGCAAATGGAGAAGTGATATGTCAAGACCTGCAGATGTGCTCTCCCTGTGCTATGGAAGTTGGCAGTCAGTAGAAAGGAAAATTCTGTTGTACTTTCTCTTACTAACCAGCTTTCAGATCAAAAGGAAGAAAGGTTTATGCTATTTGCCAAGGCAAGAGGCATTCCACTTTATACCATTTACACAGCATTTTTTTCAGCTACAGGCTGTGCCTATGTAATAACATATCTACATGAAACTGTAGCTAAGTTTTGCCCAGAGCTAAGCAATGAATTAGTGGAAAGGCAAAAATTAAATACACATTTTAAAATATTTTTATGTAAATTCTGCACAACTCTGTCAAAACAGTCAACACAAAGCATCTGAAAATTCAGCTTGCAAGAATTGTTGGTATGCTTTCAATGAAATTTCATAAATGGTATCCACAATCTACATAACAAATGCTATTTTCTCCTGTCCAGGTGGCCTTTACCTACAGGGATATATTGTGAGCGAACAGGCTCTGGGCTCCAAGAGATCTGTAATTGAACTCAAACCTCCATCTGAAGAATTTAAAACTTTCTACCTATGTGCAGAGAATGTAAATGAAAACAAAAGGTAAACCAACTTTTTCTCTCTTTCTTTTTCCCCCCTGGCTCCCTTAAAAAGGATGTAATGTCAACTTTTCATTCTGTTTTCATTTGTTCCCCCAAAGTTCCTTTTAACTGTAGCTTTAATCAAACTGCAGTACAACATGCTGCCACATGTGAGTCACCAGTTCTGCTGTTCTCAGTACTGGAACTACACCAAGGCTGACTTGCAGAGGTTCAGAAAGAAAATTCAGTAAGATGTCTTTCACAATAATGTGAGGGTGACTACACTAAACAGAAAAGCTATAGTACCTCTTGTAAAAGATAATGGAAAGTTTATTCTCCTCATTCTCAATAATTATTTACTTCCAAGAAAGAACATTATAGTAAAAAAAAAAGAAAATTGGCCTATGAAATGGCATTCTGAACATGTTTCCTTCATCATAACCCAGCCAAATTCCACTGCTGCCATAGGTAATTCTTGTTTAAAGCCAACTAATTACAGGGTTTTGGTTTTAATTTAATGAACAAAGGACAAAGCTTTTCAGTATGTTGGAAACCGGTGTTAGATATGGTGCTGTTATAGTCAACTCCTCCAGCTGTTGCCTCTCTCCACTTACTATCAGCATACATAGTAACACAGTGGTACAAACATTATTTATAAAATGTGTGTTTCAGAGCATATAGAAAAGAATGTGTAACACTTGATCAGAGATAGTTGCTGGTCTTTCATTTCTTCTAGATGGATTACAGCTTTGAAAGCTTCAATTAATAAATGGTTACCCCTACACCAGGCAATCCAAGATTTCATGAACAGGCCACTGGAAGAGACAAGGATGTAAGAAGAAAACTAGTCTTTTTCCCCTTGATTTATTTTTTTTCCATTAAAAATCCATCCTATGTCTTATTGTTAATTTCAAACATGCTCTAGCAGCAGATAATCTTTAGCATTGATAGACATTCTCACCTTCTGTAAGCATTAGTAAATAAATGTAAAGCTATGTTGCCTTCTTTGTGGTTGTCTAATTTGTGTTTCTGCTTCAACTCAAACCATGCATAGAGTCTATTACAGCAGTGAACTGACATCAACATTTATCTGAAGCAGACAAAAGATGTACTTCAGCACTTTTGCACATTCATGCACTGTATTTCTATATATATTTTGTATTCCCTGATATTTTATATCTGCACCCCTTTTTCTTGAACATGCACCTTTTGCAAAGACTTATGCTTTTCCATCCAGAAATTTCATATATGAGTTTGCCTGTAAGTTTCTAGATGGTGCAGGACTTAAGGCTGGGACAGGCTAGACTGACTGAAAGACTTAGAAGCAACACACTATGACAGCATTCCTGGGGGAACGGAATAAATTTGTCTGATTTGGATAAATACTTTTGTTCTTGGACACTCTAAATTGACATAAATTTGAATTTAAAGAGGTTTTTATTTGGCTATCTGCCACTACAGCACAGCATATTTGTGGACAGAAATCAGTTCAAGAATTAAAGAAGCTGTTTCCTCCAAAGTAATCAGTAAGAGACAACACCATAAATACTGATCAGGGATATCAGGGTTAGACATCTGTGGTTATTACATCTGGTCATATACATAATCTTTGACATTATTCTCTAACATTATAATAAATCTAGGTATTCAGCTTGCAAGCTTCAAAAAATACTAACTGAAGTAAAATAAGAAGTTAGTTCCATTCATTTCTTGAAGAAACATGCTAAGAAATTTATTATGTGATGCTGCAGCAAAGTACAGAATGGAAAAGAATACACACTATCCTCAGATCACGTGATCACCAAATTTCTTGTTCACACACTTAATATGTGTAGCACAAAGAACTGTCAGGGATGAAGGATTCCATAACTTCAACAGCAAGGTGCAAAAAGAAAACACAGAATCATAGTGTGGTTTTGGGCTGGAAGATGAGTCTGCCTACATCCATCACATTGGCAGACTCATCTTCCTTAAAGCACGCTGAGGATACCGGGCTATCTCCATCTAGCATTTGCATTACAAGCAACAGGTTTTCGTATGTTTAATTTCTGTTGTACAAATTATTTAGCATAAAAATGCATATAGTGCTCCCTTTTCATTACTCATTACATTTAACCTTTGCGTTGATTGGCCTCTCATCATCTTTTCAGTTACATAACTTTCTGTATATTAATTTCTAACTAAAATCTTTATTCACTTCTGGTCACCCTGCTGATTGTAGTCCCTGATTTTGAAACCTGGATGGGATGGGTAAGGGGATCTCCAAACAGCATTACTGGTTACTGTGACCCTGGCCACCGTGTGCTGGTTTCAAGATGTGTTCTTGTATTGTTCTTTCCATGGTAGCTGCATGATCATAACATCTTATTCTTCATGAATTTACGGTTCCCAGTTAAACATAATGCTAGACTCTAGCTGCTTGTACCACCTGCTTACTTCTTGTGGTTTCTGTGACTACTGAAGTAAACCACAATCACGTTTCCCCCCATGATTCTCTTGAGATCATCTTCTCCCAAACATTCTGTCTTGCCCAATTCAGCCCGACCAGGCCTGACCACCCCTCCTCAGTCAAACCAAGTAATAAAAATACAATCAGATAAGTAACAAAAGGACCTTAAAGATTATCTAGATCCAACCCCTCTACATTGGCAGGGACAACTCCCACTAGATCAGGTTGCTCAGGACAGTCTTTATTTTCTTACTAAATTTTCATAGTTATAAAGTGCTTTCTAAATTAGAATGATTCTTCTCCATAATTGCGATAGTTTCCAAGGTGTATCAGTGTTACAGTAACAATTTGTGCTTTATTCAGCGTTGTAAGTAATAAATACGGAACCCTAAAAAATGTAAGTACTTTCTTCAGTTTGGTGGAAGTCAAAAGGTATCAAAAATGCCTCAAATGTACACCTGTACAGAAAAGAACAAAATCTTACTGTTGTTGTAAAGCTGCATATTTACACAGCAAACTTCTTGGGACTCTTTGCTTAACTGGGTTTTAAATCAGCAGAGTTTGCTGAAATATTTTTTTTTTATTTGCCTCATGATTTTTCTTTCACTTCAATGATTATACTTCCAAAAGCAAAGAAAATACTAAAGTAAATAGGAAACAATTTCTAAAATTATCTTAAACTATGAAAAATTATAAAAAATGTAAGCTATTAAAAAAACAATCAAACAAACAAACCAAACCAAAATAAAACAAAACAAACCCACCAAAAACTATCAAGTTTCAGAATTATCTAGGTTTTAACCCAGAAAAAATGATGAGGATCCAAAGGCAAGCTTGTTACACTTTGCTGAGTATCAATCTGCTGGTACCTCCCCAGTCAGCCAGGACTACTGATAAATGATGGAAGTCACCTTGGTGAACACCCCCACCAGCTCTTTCAGCACTCTTGGGTGCTTCCCATCCAGCCCCACAGATCTGTGCACATCTACGTGGAATAGCAGTTCACTGACCACCTCCTTCTGGACTGTGGGAGCATCGTTCTACTCCTGATCCCTGTCACCATTCTTAGGGAGTTGAGTTCCCTCAACATAACTGGTCCTTGTACAGCACTTGTTCCTGTAGGTACAAACTCTGAATAGTGACTGAGATACACCACTGCTAGTCAGTGTAGCCTGTTCATCAGAGCACACACAACTGTGAAATATTGCTCTGTATGGAGAGAAGTCATCAAGAAATGCATTCAAATCCTGCCTTGCTCATGACTGAGGGATCAGAGATTTTAAAATGCGAGTTTTTCACAAACATTTTCAAGCCTTAGTGCACTAGATAAGTATCACCTGCTTGTAAAAACAATAAGCAGCAGAATTGAAACCAAGACTCTGAAAGTGGAACAAGATACTAAATTAAATATAAATTTTCCTTCCGTTTTTGGCCAACAGAGAAAACATTTCAGTAATGACTGCAATTCTGCATCTAGTAGCACCTGACACTTACCTACCTGTCATGTACTTTGAGATCAAAGTTATGTATTGTAGATCAGATAAAGCCTTCCAGTCTTCTCTGCAGAACTCATATCCTGTCCTTCTTTTTCTATTTATTGTTACAACTAAAGGAAGAAAAATCTCAATACAAGCAAGATCATATATTATGTCTAATTAATTACTTGAAAAGAAATTAAATCAGGCAGTGAACTGATCATGTTATATGGAAATCTATGTTTTGTATTGATATATCTTTAGGCGTTGTAGCTATTATTTGCAGAATGCATTTAAAAGAGATAATTCACAATGTGTTTACATAGAATTCTCAAATATTTTGTTAAAATAGTCAACTTGGGAGACTGGGCAAATTGTGTCCTTTCCATGCAGGCTGCTGTTGCATATTGGACCCAGATAGAGAGTGATATTTTCCAAATCCTTCATTATTGCTAGCTATTCTGAGATGAAAGTGAAGTGAAATACGTTTTCCATAAATATTGTTCATTTCCTTCCTGGCTACTGTTGATGGTGGTCATGGAATGATACATGAAAAGACAGGCTGAACAATTCTGACCCTAAAGAACTAGTCTCTCCAGAATAAGATGTTCTGAAATGCAGCATCACCTTTCTTGAAGATGGGTGGAAAGGAAACAGATTATCACAGCATGTTGCTGGTACATCCTAGCAACAAACTAAATTGAGTTTCTGCTCTGCTGTACTGGTCAGCAGGTGATGAATGGAGCCCAGAGTCTTCATGTTGCTAAAGCACAGACTGCAAAGGTCACAGCATGCCTGGCAATTCATAAAGAGAAATGAACACAATTCCACTACTGCTTTTCTCTGGCAAGACAGAGTACTAGAACACACTTGCAAAAAACCACAACTCATACCAGTGTAAGAATTTGACCCAGAGAATGAGACTCTTCCCTGGTGAACAGTGTTTTTTCTTCTAAGTCATTTATATCACTGGTCTGAACACACTCTGTTATAAGAAAACTAAGCAAATTTTTCTGTGATTTTAATATCCATCTTTTATAAACAGACTTTGAAGAACATAAAATGTTCACCATGTCCCAAATCATGTGTCTTACATGTCTCT